TATACTTAGTGAGTCATTGTAAGTAGTTAGCTTTGGTTTCACAGCAAAAGGTTTAGACTTAGACTTACACAAACTTTATTGATCCACAAGAGAAATTATTTGGACACAGTAGCTCAATAAATAAATAAATGAATAAAAAAACAAAGAGCAAAAATATAAATGGTAATAATAAATTCTAAATAAGTAGCAAAAAAGATAACAAACAAAAATAACAGACAGGTTTCAAATAAGACATAATTATATAAATGTAAATGTACATGTCAAAATAAAATAGAAAGATGTAATAAAATATAAAATCTCAGCTTTATACAAGAGGTCATAGGAAGACAGAGCAACAATATGATGACTGACAGTACATAAGGTTATCCATTACATAAGTGTGAGTTGTTGTACAGTTGTATGGACTACTGTATGGTATGAATGTAGTCCTGTATCTCTCACTGTTTGAATGGAGCTGTAGGACCCAGCTGGAGAATGAGCTCCTCTGTCCCTCATGTTTATACAAACATGTTCATATTGCTCAGCTATAGTTGTCCTTTACTTGGAATAGTTTGCCCAAATTTAGGAATAGCCATTATTGTTTATGTTAAAGATGCACTATTGTGCCTGTTTTCATGACATGCAGGAGATGCGTTACAGATCAGATCTGTGGTGAGTTGACCCAACTCAAAGTAAGAAAGTACTTTTTTTTTTTTTTTCTTAAAATGTTACTAAAAAAAAACAATTTAATTACATTTTATTTCAATCTATTTAATGCACCTTAATTAATTAATTAATCATTGCATTTATATAGAACTTTTCAAGATACTTAAGGTGCTTTACAGTTCATTGTTCATTCACTCTACACTTGGTGGTGGTGGTAAGCTACTATTGTAGCCACAGCTGCCCTGGGGTAGACTGATGGAAGCGAGGCCCCTCCGACCACCACCATCACTCACGCACAGGCCACTTTTATACTAGGCAATGTGGGTAAAGTGTCTTGCGTAAGGACACAACGATGCCCCTGGCGCCCCACTGATTTTCCCAGTGGTCTCCCATCCGAGTACTAACCTGACCCGGCCTTGCTGAACTTCTGAGATCTGACAGGATCAGGCTTTGACAGCTGGTATGGCCACATATTAAAAAATTATGTGTACATTTCCAGATTTTATATGGTAAATGGTCACATTTATATAGGGCTTTTCATCCCTCAGGGCACTCAAAGCACTTTACATCAAAGAACCACTCACACACACACACTCATTACACAGAGTACACTGACACCGGGGGCAAGGTGGGTCAAGTGTCTTGCCCAAGGACACCATTGCAATATTCATCTGTGGGAGCAGGGACCACTCCGCTAAACTTTGGGTTAGTGGATCATCTACCAATGAGGTTTAGTCCAAGAGATGGTTTGTGCCAAGATGAGATCTCTACAAACTGAGAGACTGTCAACCTATGTCACATTCAGCGTATCTCCATGGAGACAAGCAAGTGACAAACTCTCCCCTGGAAAAGTTATACAGCGCACTGTGCACAGCAAATTATGTTGGTCAATTATTCCAGTATAAAATGAAAGCCTTGCAATCACAAAATTACACTTTTTTCATTCAGATGTAAAATAGAGGCAGAGATCAGCTTCACATTTGAGGTTTTACTTTGTTTTTTTGTTAGTTTTTTTTGCACATCATCACACCCTCTTGTAACTAACATGGATCATCAAATGTGTATACCTTTTTTTTCCCCCTAGCTCCACTTTTTGCTGCTGTGTGTAGATGGAGGTTGGAGCGTGATGGGAGACAGACATGCTTTGAGCTGAGGGCAGATGGATGAGCAGTGTCCAAAGAGCAGTGTGAACCCAAGAACCGGTCATATATTTCCCCCGGGCCCCATCAGAGGCATCAGATAAACTGTGAGCAGTGAGAGACATGGAGACATGCCAGGGATCGATCCATGCCTTCGGACGACTCAACACTCTCCTGGATGTACACAAGACACATGATGCCATATTGTGGATTTTTCAAAAAGATGAATTATGAGAAATGTTTGTTTGTTTTTAACAGCTTTTCCTTTCTACACATCCACTATTCTGAAATTGTATTTATTTATTTTTGTTGTGCATGTAGACATTTTGCCTCAAATTAAAAAGTTATTTTTTTTGTTTTTTGTAAATCCACTATTTACTATGATCTGCAGGTATGCATATGTGGTGCTGTAAGCCTGGTTTTACAACAAAAATGTGCATCAGCTCAACTTTGATAATCCTGACAATATTCAAGTTGGATCTATTAGTATCAGCCTTGGTTTCCTCTAGCCTTACCTTCAAAACAGAGCACATATTGCGACAAGAAAAAAAAAAAAGAAAGAAAAAAAGTGTGGTGTTCCCGAACCACACAGTGATAACTGTTCAGAGGATGCTCTACACGAGTCCCCCATAGGCCTATGTGAGGGGGGCTAGATTTTCTGAGCCGCCTATTGAAGTAGAGCTGCTGCTGGGCTCTCCTCACAGTCGCAGCAGTGTTCTGTGCCCAGCTCAGGTCAAATGTTACCTGCAGGCACAGGAACTTGTAGCTGTCAGCCCTCTCCACCTCTGTCTCCTTGATGACCAGATACTGAAAAGGTCAAGGGCTCCTCCAGAAATCCATGATTATTTCTTTAGTTTTGTCTATGCTGAGTTTGAAGTCATTCTCTTTTCTATAGACCACAATGTCCCTCACAGTGTTCCTGTACCCTGACTCGTCCCCCTTCCTGATGAGGCCCAGGATTGTCGTGTCATCCACAGATTTCTGCAAAATGAACAGAGGAAGACAAAAACCACTGAGCTTTGGTTGGGCTCGAGAACTAAGTGCACGAGACCAGACAGATATCTCTCTTTATAAAATACAGAGATATATCATTATTGCCTGACAAATACAGGATATCTCTTTGTATTTTTTAAACAGATTGATACCAGTCTGGTCAGCACTCCCTCTGTTGTGTCTCAAGCCAAACATCAGCTAATCCACCTGTCAATCACACCCATTTGAAAATGGGAGGAGATCCACCAGTGACCAGTGATACATCTTTGAAACACTGAAGTAGTGTGTATTGTGGATCCCAGGCAAATATATCATTTTGTATTTGCTAATTTTGTATAGCTCAATATCGCTGGGCTTTGCAAACATTTTTATTTATCCCATAGATCGTTTGTCCTAAATTTCAAACTATTAAATAATCCTGAAACAACCAGATTAATAAATATTCAACAAGTGAGACATGAATTGAAGAAACCAAACGGGGACTGAATGTAGTGGCGCAGTTAGACCAGTTTAGAATCATTTTATAGGCAGAACATAAGCCCATAAAAGTTTCACTTTTATCATCTTTTCCTCATTATTATGCAAATGTCATATGCATCAAACAACAGTCGGCGGTCTTTAATACAGAACAGAGTAAAACTGTCACATCTGCAACAACAAAGCTCTTTGTTTTTGAATAGAAAGGAATATACAACACAATGTGGTACACAATTTTAAGTGCATAGCAGTTTTATCTACTCTACTTCTACTCGGTTTGGTGGAATAGGACCTGTGGTAAATATTTGTCATAGGTTTACATCAGTTAAGGGGCAGTTTGAGGGGGGAAAAATATAGGAAGTAGCTGTAAACAGAAGACATCTGCCTATGTCATTAACACAGCCAAGTGGTAAAAAGCATAGGTCCACTCAGGTCCACTCTGCCTTACCTGCTCTAGACCACTAAATCATCTAGAGGTGTATGGAAATCAACATCAATATGCCAAAACAAACAAACACAAACAAAAAAGAAATAACTAAATCTTAGAATAAACCAAAATTTGGCAAATAGCTCCTGTGGTGTATTATGTAACATTTTGGACTCTGAAACCTCCGTGATTCCTTGAAATTGCACTGCCTTTTCTAGAACGTGCCTTGGCATAGCATTAAAATGATTTATCTTGCATTTATTCAACTACAGATATTTTTATCACTACAAAAATTGGTTGCCTCCTCACAGATCTGACTTGTAGCTTGGTTTAGTGGCATCACCTGCTTGTCCCTGTCGAATATTTCAGACAAAGCAATAACTACGCCACAGAGATGAGCCAGACAGACAATAAGAGAAGCAGGTGCTGGATTCCTTAAGCAAAATCTTCAGTAAACCTGTAATTAAAGTGATTATAGAGAGTGTGGATTTTTGCGTGCGCTACAGATATATTATATAAGCAGCTTTTGAGGTGAAAATGCATCAACTGTGGATTGTCTGCACCTAACTAGATAATCAGGAAGTGTGTGTTAGTATGCTAGATTTTGTTGGTTTTATCACAAAAATTTACTTGTTCTGTTTTTTCACATTTTTAAGACAGTAACAATCAGGTACAGCGGCTTTAAGGTTTAGGTTTAATTATCTAATTCATCAAGTTTTCTGTCAGTGGTTTGACCTTGCATAAATTTAGTTCACATCCATCACCTCCATTGCGTTGTATTGCGTATCCCCCGCGTTCTCTCACACCTCACTAAACCTTATTTAAAAGCGTGAGTTATAAATATGATCAAGATAAGTAGCCTATGGCCTAATTTATAATGAACCTAGGCTTCAACAGATAACATGTGATGAGGAGTTGCCACCCGTCTCCAAGCGCACGGCTCCGTGACCTGATAAGTGCGGGGTAATGGTTTACAGGAGTCAAATGTGCATGTGCGGGCTCCGAGCTCCCACAGTGCCTCGCGTCTGCTTGTGCGTCTGTGCCGGAGTGTGCGCCACAGCCTTGACGTCGATGCACGCGCGGCTATAAGAGCGCGCACGAGTCCAGAGCACACACAGCGCGAGAGCACAAGGCACAGAGCGCGAGCGGCTGCTGATGGTGTAGACCCCCATTACGCCTGGACACATACTAAAGCCAACCTAGCGTTTCCACTCCATTTGGACACAGTCTCTTCATGCTTCCACTCTTTTGACTGCACTTTGTCTTGACTTCTACAACGGAGTCGTTCTGGTAAAGCGCGCAAAGGTCGTCCCCCAAGTATGGAGTCGTACACGGCGGCCGGAGCACCTCTCTCCTACTCGGACCTGTACTCGGTAATCCCCTTCAACACCACGTTCCCGGACGGTGACTTTTCCGAGGCGCTGCGTAATGAGAGCGGAGAGGCAGAGCGCGGCAGACCGGTGCGCAGCGCTGGAGACATGGTGATCGCCATCTCCATCACTGCGCTCTACTCGGTCATCTGCGTGGTGGGACTGCTGGGGAACATCCTGGTCATGTACGGAGTGGTCAGGTAAGATCTTAAGTCCAGGTTTTGTTGGAGAATGCTCTATCTTTTCTGTAGCGGTGGCAATCAACTCTGGTTTAATTATGGTTTGGAAAAGTGTGCGTCTAGAGTTACTTCAAGTGATATATATATTTTTATAAATAGAAAACTTGTTTAGCCCGAGTTTAAAGGTGTACTATGTAACTTTTCTGGTGGAAGTCACGCCACGAAGAATATTCCACAGTATGGCATTACACGTATAGAGAGTATAGTAAATTACCGCTGTTTTAATTGAGAAACAGCAGGCTTGCCTCCCCACATCACTCACCTGTAACAGCGTGGGAACATGCTTGTCTCCATTATGATGGATAACAGGGTAACATCTCCATGGAGACAAGCAGGTGGAGGACCCTCCACCAGAAACCTTGCACAGTGCATCTTTAAGCCAGAGTTTATTTCTGTTGTTACACAGCATAGTCTTGTGTGCTTTGGTTTCATGATGTTTTTTTTTTTTGTTTGTTTGTTTTGGCAGTGTACGGCAAGTAGCAGCGTCCCAGTCATAAGATTAATGGACGCAGAGCCCACATATTCAGTCACTGATGTGAGAAGTGTCTTGCTTTGGGGTTCAATAACAGTATGCAGACAATGCCAGTAGAGGGCAACTGCCAACCAGACCCTTTTGTTAAACATTTTGTCTTCTCTCACCGCCTCTCTCGTTCTGCTTTTGTTTTAAATGATCATTAAAATGATCCTTTTCCTCTTTAAATGTTTTCATACTCTGTTCAACACTAGATTGTGGGTCCATCTATGTATAATATATATATATATATATATATATATATATATATATATATATATATATATATATATATATATATATATATATATATATTATATTTTTTTTTTTTTTTTTTTTTTTTTTTTTATGCAAATAAAATAGCTTTTGCTGATCTGTACAATAGGTCGTTTCTGACCTTGACCTTGTCACTAAAAAAAAGGATATGGTACAATCACATTCATAACCATATTTTACCATTAGAGAGTGAGTTGTTGCATTCTAACAAAACAAAAACAATACATTTTTAGTTCTGGTTTAAAGAGGAGGTATTATGTTTTTTTTTGTTTGTTTTTTTGTTGTTGTTGGTTTTTTTATGTTGCCTTAAGAGGTTTTAGATGTCAACCCTGCTTGTTTGAGTAATCTCTCCCAGGCCTTATTTGAATCTTCTTCACATTTAACTGTAAGATTCTGTTCAGTTCTCAGCCTACAAGCCTACATCATCCATGTTTCCACCTGACAATTCCCCATAAATATACAAAAACGTGCATAACTGTACACAACAACTTCACAAACCCGACGCGATGTGTAGTTTCATTAGTCTGATGTATGCTGATTGTGTTGTAATGCCACTGTCAAGGTTGAGTGACTAAGCGTGGAGAGCAACGCAAGGGGATGCAGTTAATACCCCACAGAAGTAAAATAGCCCCTCTTTAATGTCATCTTAACATTCATTCAGTGACAATATGGTCCTCCTAGATCTTTTCTATATGCGCTCTTCCTGGCTGCGCTGTCTCTCCTCACTGGGGCGTGCAAAAGCTAGGCTCACTTCAAAGTCAGAATGTCCCTAGAATACAATACAAAGGGCTGTTATGGTGCGTTTAATCTGCCACTGGGTTCAGCAGAAGGCCCACTCTTCATTTTATATGGGCCGCACTATAACTGAGACCGGAATAAATGTTTGTAATGTGTTCTGTATTGTGCCTGGATCCTGGAGATGGTCTAGTCGAGTTATATGCTGTTAAGTTGCATTCTGTCATTTTTGGGTTTGTTTCCATAGAGAAAATGTGGCTTTATATGCTGTATTTTGTATTTTCTTCAATTACAGGTATTTTTATTTGTCTAAAATGAAAGACATTGCAGTGTTAACTCTATCAAAAATGTTACATGGTGCACCTTTAATGTTTTTTTGTTTTTTTTTTTTGTCCTGGTTTGATTTAGTATTGACAGGGTGCATTCACTCATCTTGGTTTAGTCATGATACATACTTGGTTTGGTGTAGATGCCCTATTTTGGTCTTATTTATCCAGTATTTCCAGAGAGCCCTGGTTTAGACCTGTTTTAGTAGTTATCACCAGTTTTACTTCTAACAGTTTTGCCCACTGCATTTGACCCATTCTTTACTCATCACTGCATCAGAAAAATCTTGTCTCCATCATGGGGTACCTGTCTGGATAATTACCCTGCATTCAATTATCTTCCGACCTCCACTTGGACCTCGGATTTGATGTCACGTCCGAGCTTGAAGTGTATTATTATTTTTCTCATGTTGGTCTCAGAGAGTAGCATGTAGCTTCACCACAACACCGACCACCAGACCCATAGGCGGTGATACAGCTGTGGTTTTGCAATAATACGAGTGACTGAAATTGTCATTTAAACCACCGAAGTGTCCAAACACAATGAAAACAGTTCATGTTTACACGTCACAGTGGGCAGAGCCATCTTGGATTCTTTTCGGAATCCTTGCACGGTCTACTTTTTCTGCCACCGAGTTTCGAGTCGGGCCGTCCTAGGAAAAGGGGTGTGTCGTGCGCGTCACTAGGCAACTTCCTCGGAAAACCAATTCGGAAGGATAATCGAATGCAGGGTTAGCCTACTGTGCATGTTTTGGACTGATGAGGGGTATCCAGACATGTAAAGAAACTGCAAGCCACACAAAAAGGAAATCGAACCCTGGATTGTCTTGAGGTGAGATTGGGCAATAGCGTCAATCGATTTGCAGCCATGATGGTCAATTTTAGGATTTTGTTCAGATTAGGTGGTTCTTAGCTTCGTGGGGCTAGGGCTGGGCAAATAATTGAATGATCGCTATTCATGTCTAATTGTCAATTATATGTTTGGGGTTTTATGAATCAAGATGTTGAGAGACAATCATCAGTCAGAAAAAGCATGTCTTAACTTGGCTTTTTTTTTCATCAAGGAAGTTCAATAATAATGGACAAACTTAATAATTTACAGTGAGTTGTTCAAAGAAAAAGTATTTTGGGAGCTTTTACTCTTCCATACATAATTGAAAACCTGGACACTGGCCCTTTAAAAGTGTAGTAGTAAAAGGGATTTTGTAAACAGTCGCCCTTATCTTCTATGTTTAGTGTTCTGCATCACTGGTCGAGCAGCTGTCATAGGCATTTCCTTTTCTCCTGTGATTGACTGAGACCTCTGTGCCCCAAAAGGTCAACACTATGTAAACAAAACAGGATTATGAAGTGTGTATGTAAGTGCAGATGTATGTTCAGAGGTTTGTTCTGACAATATTCATTTTCGTTAAATGATGAACAGTTTTTTATTTATCATTTGGGGGCTTGTTAAACGTGAGAGTTTTATATCAGGGATCATTTGGATCGTGAGAAGCAGACAACATTTGTAATCAGCTGAAGCTATAATTTTGTTATTTGAGGATGTTGGATAGAGTAAACAAACTATGTGCCAAATAAGCACCAAAACAGTTTTGTATTGACCCAAGTAGCTCTGCAAATGCACAAATGAAACAAAACACCACCAGGCTTTATTTGAATATAATTTTTAAAATATCAGAAATGGATGATGACTTCAAAGGATGCATTTTTGAGCTTTTGACCATGTTATAACATTGTTCCTTCATTAAACACATACCTGAAGTTGTCACAAGTTGTCTCAAAACACTGAAATTTTAAGTCCATAAGTGATCGTATGAAGCAACTGTACAGTGAAACTATGCTTATTACTACAACATGTGTACATTACCACGTCTTTGGCATGTTTGGTAAGCTTTTTCCTCATGATAAATCCCTCTGCTGCCAGTAGATGGAGCTGTACAGCATATTCCAGTATGGGAAGCACCAAGTCTGGAAAATAAAGCGTAGTTCTGTACAAAGCGATTATTGCAATTTCTAAAACAGGCCAAGCAGCACTAAAAATAATTCATCATATGTGCTCATTAAGTTCATCACAAAAAGTATAAGGAGAAATAACACTACAGATATACAGTTCATTCTTGTATAAACAGAATGCCAGTATCCTCTGAAACGTTTCCCATCCAGTTTCCCAAAATACAAGCAGGTTGCTGTATTCGCTCCGCTCTGGTTCCATGCACCTGGAGCAGTGTGGAGAAGTGAAAACTGTCTGAGCCCAGTCTGACTCCGCGGCACCCTCGGCAGGAGCAGAGGAGGTACAGGTCCATTACCCAACTCTGTGTAGAACGTCTGATACTTGAGCTGTTTGAAGGAGAGAGGCAACTCAGATCAAAGTGGTTTTGATAGAACATTAACAGCTCAAAATAGTTCCCACTGCTGCTTACAAAAATGAAATATTTTGTTCTATCTATTTCCCAATTCTCTTGATATCTTTAGTGGACAACACAGTACAATAACGTAACATAGGTTTTCTCTGAGCTAATCTGTGCACTTATGGGCTGTAAATCTAGTTTATGTTCAAACTCTGCGCTCTTATTGGTCCATAAACATCAATGGGGCCCTCAGGATTCACAACGTTAAGCTACAGAAGGTTCTTGTTTATAGGTCTCCAGTTTTTAGAAGTGCTTCTAGATAAATGCTGGGTTTCAGGAACATTTAGGTGGGTCTGTTGAATGCACCGGTGCTGGTATGGGTAATATACTAGATTTATTTTTTGTCAAATTTATTTTTGCTATCTCTCTCAGTTATCGTATTGCTGTATTGTTGTCTTCTTTTGTGGGGAAAAGTGTGTATACTTTTTATGTACTTTTTGACATTTTTTGTTGGTTCGCAAAAACTGGTAACAATATCTTCAATGCTCTAATTTTGGTATTATATAAAGACTTTATCCTTCACCTCTAGTATATGTACATCTGATCATTTATATAGTGTCCATTATTCCTGCAATATTTTACCAACCACAAAATCTGCAGATTAACAAAAGACATTTACCATACCTCCTCCCATGTGTTTGTTTAATCTAATGTGCTGCACTCTGCTAATCCTATAATCATTTTTTCCAGATCAAACATGGAAGA